AACTACTATAATAAATTGATACTTAGATTACATACACATTTATAAATGTTGTTTACATATTATATGGTTGACACCTAGAAATTGAATGGTGCAGGATTGCAAAATTAACAGCGTAGCCAATGTGGGGGAGGGATAAGCGGAGTAATTACAGCTCAGGGGAGAGATTCTGAGGAACAAAACAGTGGATTCTCCTTCATGAATTGCGACATGGGTGGTAGCGGCACAGTTATCATTGCTTGAATTCGGACAAATAATTGCACAGTTACTCGTGCAATGCGCGTGCAATGAATTGCGACATGGGTGGTAGCGGCACAGTTATCATTGCTTGAATTCGGACAAATAATTGCACAGTTACTCGTGCAATGCGCGTGCAATGTGCGTGCAATGTGTGTGCGATGCATGAATAAAAAAGTGGATTTTCTTTCGTGAAATCCGACGTTAGTGATAACTGCAAAGTGTGGTTGGGACGTGCATGGAGATCCTATGCCACTGTCGTCTTTTCTACAACTTACATGTCTGAGGTGGTCTCCCCTGATGCCTGGAATGATTGAGGCAACTCTACCTATGACCAGTATGTCCCTATCTTTTTACATATATTTAAAATTAGAATTAATTTTTAATTTTTCAACTAATAAAAACATATGTTTAGTTTGCAGGACACTGTTTTTTGGAGAGTATAATTGCACAGGCCACAAGGCTAGGAGCCAACTACTCAAAGAGGGCACCATGCGTGCGCTGTGCGTGCACATTTCAGAAGGCCATTTACGCCGTTCCTGATCTCAGTCCAGTTGCCACACTGGTTATAGTCGATTCCGACGCCTACAGGTCAAATACTTTAATTTCTTCTTCTACACTCCTATTTATATTAGTCAAACTTCTTTTTAATCCAAGAATAATGTGATTGTTGCATGGAGAAAGTGACAGTGAACCAAACCAAAATAAATTTGATAATACAAGGCCAAGTCTACCTCAACACCGCTATAGCATGGAATGATACTGCATATTCTAGTGGAGGAACTGCTAACATCTACACTTTTTGTGCATTTGCTGCCAAATTTGTAGCCTACAACATCAACTTTCAAGTACCCGGCCGGCCCCATGCATGCTATATATTGTCTTTGACCGTGCGTATAGTATGTATGATTTTGATCGAGTTATATATTGTCTTTTACCATACGTATAGTATGTATGATTTTGAGTTAATGGATTTTAATTTTGTGAAGAACACTGCTCCTCTGCCATCCCAAGGTGTATCTGGTGCACAGGCATTGGCCATAAGTGTCTCAGGAGATCAATCCGCATTTTATGGATGCGGATTCTATGGAAATCAAGACACACTTAATGATCAAGAAGGAAGGCACTACTACAAACAATGTTTCATCTAGAGCACGACTGACTTCATATTTGGAATGGCCAGATCACTCTATGAGGTCTGATCTGCTCTGCCACTAAAACTACTATAATAAATTGATACTTAGATTACACACATTTATAAATGTTGTTTACATATTATATGGTTGACGCCTAGAAATTGAATGGTGCAGGACTGCAAAATTAACCGCATAGACAATGAGCGAGGGGGAGGGATAAGCGGAGTAATTACAGTTCAGGGGAGAGATTCGGAAGAACAAAACAGTGGATTCTCCTTTGTGAATTGCGACATTGGTGGCAGCGGCACAGTTATCATTGCTTGAATTTGGGCAAATAATTGCACAGTTACTCGTGCGATGTGCGTGCGATGCATGAATAAAAAAGTGGATTTTCCTCGTGAAATGCGACATTGGTGATAAAGTGTGGTTGGGACGTGCATGGAGATCCTATGCCACTGTCAGCTTTTCTACAACTTACATGTCCAAGGTGGTCTCTCCTGATGCCTGGAATGATTGAGGCAACTCTACCTACGACCAGTATGTCCCTTTCTTTTTACATATATTTAAAATCATAATTAATTTTTAATTTTTCAACTAATAAAAACATATTTTTGGTTTGCAGGACACTGTTGTTTGGAGAGTATAATTGCACAGGGTCAAGAGCCAACTACTCAAAGAGGGCACCATATGCAAAGCAACTGAATGCATCCGAGGCTGCTCCATTCATGACTACGACATACATAGATGGTGAGGATTGGCTTATTCCTAACCCTAAGATTGCATGGTCGGGCAGATCCCATATGATCGAATGAAAACATATATTATTAATTATAAAAAAATTTAAATATAATTAGATGATTATTTGCATGGCTTGTAGCTGATGTATATACTGCTTTGTGTTTATAAAAAAAAAATTATAATTGGATAATCAGTTTTTATTTTATTGGCACGTATGTATGTGTGTGCACGTATTATATTTTTAAACAGTACGTGAAACTTACAAATTTATAAATAATAAAACTTTAAGATAAAATTATCCACATCATTATTAAAAAGTTAAGAAAGAATTGCGATTGTCTATCCAGGTCTTTAATGAACATTTAAGATACAATTGCCTGTCTTCTTCATTATTAAAAAGTTAAAGAAAGAATTGTGATTGTTTACCCACGTCTTTATTGAATAACATTTAAGATATCTCACCGGGACGTCCACGCCCACGCAAATCCCAATGCCCAGCACCAGCACAATCATCTTCTCGTTCAAGAATTGCTCGGCAAACATCGGTCATGTGATCATTGGCACCCCCGAGCACACAAAAATGTGCTCTAGAAGAAGGGAAAATGTGCATTTAAAGGTAGAAAATTATGAAATTGTCCTAAAAAAGTCTAAATTTAATACATAATTTTCAACAAAAATCATAAACGATCACAATATTCAACCAAAATTAATAATTCATGGCTTATTCAATATCAAATGTTCTTTAAAATATATACATATAACAGTTACAATCATAAAGTTTTAAGACACTAACAATGTGCATTGCAAGACACAACAATGTGTGCTCTAGAAGAAGCAAAATTGTGCACTAAAACTATAGAAATGCAAAAATGTGCATTTAAAGGTACAAAATTATGAAATACACCTTGAAAAGTCTAAATTTAATACATGATTTTCAACAAAAATCATAAAAGATAACAATATTAGACTAAAATTAATAATTAATGACTTATTCAAGATCAAATGTTCTTTAAAAATATATACATATAACACTTGCAATCATAAAGTTTGTAGGCACAACAATGTGCACTGTATGGCACAACAATGTGTTCTAGAAGATGGGAAAATGTGCACTCCAACTATAAAAGTGCAAAATTTTGCATTTAAATGTACAGAATTATGAAATAGTCCATGAAAAGACTAAATTTAATACATGATTTTTTTAAAAAAAAATCATAAATGGCCACAATATTCAACTAAAATTAATAATTTATAACTTATTCAAGATCAAATGTTCTTTAAAAATATATACATATAACAATTACAATCATAAAGTTTGAAGTCACAAACAATATGCACTGTAAGACACAACAATGTGTTCTAGAAGAAGCGAAATTGTGCACTAGAACTATAGAAATGTAAACATGTGCATTTAAAGGTATAAAATTATGAAATACTCTCTGAAAAGCCTAAATGTAATACATGATTTTCAACAAAAATGATCACAATATTAGGCTAAAATTAATAATTAATGACTTATTCAAGATCAAATATTCTTTAAAAATATATACATATAACACATACAATCATAAAGTTTAAAGGCACAACATGTGCACTATATGACACAAAAATGTGCTCTAGAAGAAGGAAAAATGTGCATTTAAAGGTAGAAAATTATGAAATACTCCTTGAAAAGACTAAATTTAATATATGATTTTTAACAAAAATCATAAACGATCACATTATTCAACTAAAATTAATAATTCATGGCTTATTCAATATCAAATGTTCTTTAAAATATATACATATAACACTTACAATCATAAAGTTTGAAAACACAAACAATGTGCACTGTAATTCGCAACTGGTGCTATGGTGCAGCAAAAAAGTAGATTGGAAACATAAGCCAGCCATTTTCTAGAGTAATTTGTGAATGATTGGATGAGGTTATTTATTTTGTTGAAAAGAGGGTGGTGAATGCAAGTGTTGATAATTAGAGAGAGATTTAGAGGATTAGAAATACCTACCTGTAGAAGTGGTTTTGTAAAGTTAAAAGACACCATGTTTTGGGGTTTTGATATTGCCCCCCACCCCCCCCCCCCCCCCCCGGTATAACTCTGTTTATCCCCCTTCCAGTCAATGTAGTCTTTTAGGTCAGGTCTGATACAAATTGGACTTATTTCTCCCCTTACCTTACGCTTTCGGCATATATTAACATGGACGATGAATGATTGAATGACAATTGGCTTATCCCCTGATTGAACCAACCTTGTTATTTGGATAAGCGGGACAAATGTCATACGTGACATATGACATTAAATTAGCAACTGAGTTTTTTCCTCAGTATTTGTGTGTAAAAGGCATTTCGTGAACAAATGAAAAATGGACTGCCTAAAATGGTAGGCAAGGCAATAATTGAACCCCTAAAACATGTTAAGCTGATGAATTGCGTGTAATTTAATTCCCGCGCCTAAAAAGAAAAGAGAAGAACAAAAAGAATAATACACTATACCTATACGTCCGGTCCTTTGTGTGATGTTGATAATCACCTTTATTAGCAACAAAGTACGTTCCGGAACAATCTTTTGTATCATTCAATTCATTCATGGGTGACAACATGCAATATATATAATGCAGCCATAATAATAACAGTTGGCAATATATGAAAAGTTTAAATTTGCAAGTAAACGAACATCATCACTACCGCTCTGGGCATTACCCAGCCAAGCTCATCATTAAGCTCACATGCCATAATCGGCAAAGTAGACCTCATTCTCTGCATCTGATCTTTCTCAACATACACAAATTTCTTAGCGTGAGTATCATCCAAACTCCATTATCTTTCTTCATCTCAAAACCATGTACATATATACGGTATAATCAATCAAAAAGGTTTGCTGCTTTATATATATTTTGCTTACCTCCTAAGCTAATCATCCATTATTATTTATTCCTCCCATCCCTTCTCAGCAAAGCACAAATTAAACTAACCCATTTTCAACATTTCGACTCTTGCATGCCATGAATGATGATGAACACTAGATCAACCAGCATTTTGTTTTGGCTCATAGCCTTCACCATTGCATTCTTTTCCCTCACCTTTTCTCTCTATTCCAACCTTCTTACTACTACTACTGTCCTCACCGTCAATACTCCTACCACCTTACTACCTTTTCTGCGGAGTGTAGTCAAACAAACTGGGTTGGATGATTTCCTCTCTGTTATCCACCAAGTTAAGCAGGCGCGGTCCAAACACCATCACCACCACCATAAACGCAGGCCTAAGGCCAATAAGTGCGACGACTCCAAATGGGACTCTCCCCTTGTTTCTATGTACAATGTTTCGCACGTTATAACCGTGGATTTAAATGGTTGTGCAAACTTTGCCAGTGTCCAAAAGGCCATTGATGCCGTTCCTGATTTCAGCCCAGTTGCCACACTCATTATAATCGATTCCGGCACCTACAGGTGGATCATCTTCCTTCTTCAAATATTTCCTTCTTCTACTTGATTGAAACAATACCATGGCAGAAAAGTAAAAAAAAAAAAAAAGGCATGCAAGAGTGACTTTTATTAATTGTAATGATGACCCAATTTGTTCCACTCCTATTTATAATGGCAGGGAAAAAGTGGCAGTGAAAAAAAGTAAGATAAATTTGATAATACAAGGCCAAGGCTACCTCAACACTGCTATATCATGGAATGATACTGCAAATTCCACTGGAGAAACTTCTAGCAGCTACACTTTTGGTGCATTTGCTCCCAAATTCATAGCCTACAACATAAGCTTTCAAGTAACCCATCATATCCTCAGATCATATAATTGTCTTTGATATGCAACGTGCGTGCATATGATTGAGTTAATGGATTTTTGGGTGGGAAGAACACAGCTCCTCAGCCATCCCAAGGTGCAACTGGTGGGCAGGCATTGGCCATAAGTATATTAGGAGATCAATCTGCATTTTATGGATGTGGATTCTATGGAGCACAAGACATCCTTAACGATCAAAGAGGAAGACATTATTTCAAACAATGTTTCATCCAGGGCTCTATTGACTTCATCTTTGGAAAGGCCAGATCACTTTACGAGGTCTGCTCCGCTCCATCTCAACTAAAAACACATCCTATAATAAGTTTGACAGTTGAATTACACATTTAGATATTATATTGTACGGTGCAGGAGTGTAAAATTAATAGCATAGCCAACGAGGGTGGGGGAGGGATAAGTGGATCAATCACAGCACAGGGCAGGGATTCCGAGGAAGAAAAAAGTGGGTTCTCCTTCTTGAAATGCGAGGTTGGTGGTAGCGGCAAAGTGTGGTTGGGGCGTGCATGGGGATCCTATGCCACAGTCGTCTTCTCTAAAACTCAAATGTCCCAAGTGGTCTCCCCTGATGCTTGGAATGATTGGAACGACTCTACCAGAGATCAGTCTGTCCCTATCTTTATATATATATATATATATATATATATATATATATATATATATATATATTTAAAATCATAATTATTATTTAAATTTTCAACCTAAAAAACCCGACCATGGTCAATAACTAACCTATGTTTGGTTTGCATGCATGCATTTACACTTTACAGGACAGTGTATTTTGGAGAATACGATTGCAGAGGGCCAGGAGCAGACTGCTCAAACAGGTCATCCTATGCGAAGCAACTGGACGAATCCGAGGCTGCTCCATTCTTGACTACTTCATATATTGATGGTGAGGATTGGCTTATTCCAACACCTAACACGGCATATATAACCACATCTACTGATCCAATGACAACATTATATTATTGACTTGTCCGGAATTGTATTTATTAATAAATAATCTGATAATACAAGATCAGTTTTTGTTAAGATCAAGCATGGCTGAAAGGGCTTAATTTTATTTTCTCATAAGACCATATTTGCTAGGCATAATAATGCTAGATTTAACTCTTCAATTCAGACATCAGCCAAATAATTTCTCCAACACTTGCTAGCATTAACTGCATAGACTTCCAATTATAACAGTAGTGTCCAATAGTTTTCAAACACAAATTGTAGTACACAACATAACATATGTACGTACGGATCGGAACAAATGACTTAACGTTTGATTGATGTGTTCATGATGTCTTGCACCAAATCTGATATGTTAACATGGGCTTGTCCACCATCTTCCATGGCACTCTTAGCTAATAAACCTAATTCTCTCGCTCTGTTTCTCCTATTCTCACCTTCTTCTCCGCCACCCATTAGTTTCTCCACTGCCTTTGCAACTTCATCTCTCACCACCACCACCCCAACCCTCTCCTCCTCCCCCCATCTCACCGGGACGTCGACGCCGACTCGAATCCCAATGCCCAGCACCTCCACAATCATCTTCTCGTTCAAGAATTGCTCGGCGAACATTGGCCACGTGATCATTGGCACGCCCGAGCACACCCCTTCTATGGTCGAGTTCCATCCGCAGTGGGTCAAGAAGCCTTTGATGGCAGGGTGGTTGAGGATCAGGACCTGAGGAGCCCAGCCTTTGATCACCAGTCCTCTCCCTTTGATCCTCTCCTCGTATCTCTCCTCTGAGAACCATTTCTCCAGCTCTGAATATCTCTCCCCTGTTTTGATCACCCAGATGAAAGGGTAACCCGAGGCTTCTAGCCCTAGCCCCAGCTCTATCAGCTGCGATGGAACCAGCCGGCATTGGCTCCCAAGACAGGCGTAAAGCACGGATTTTTCTTTCTGGGAATCAAGCCATTCCAAACACTGTTTTTCATCAATGGATGCCCTGTTTCCTCTATGGTACATATCCATAACATCCCTGTTACAAAGCGAAACCGGCCCGAGGCACCATACCTTTTTGTTAACAGCCTTTCTATACTCTTCCACGCAGCCACGCTCCAGTTCTTGAAAAGTGTTCACCACAACCCCATAGGCACTGGACTCGGCTTCTTGCATCTGGCCGCGGATATCGTCCAGGTCGGGCAGTGTAACGAACGCTCCGGGCAGCTGAACCTGTTAGACATAAATAATCTAACTGTACTGAATAATAGAAAGCCAGCCACAGTTGATGTTCCAGTTATTTAGTCTAACCAAACTACTTAATAAACTTAGTAAACTTGCACCAAACCTTGGCTATTTCCACGTTGAATGGCAATCCAGGGATAGGGAAAGGGACCTTGTCGGATTTAACCGAAAGGTGAGGTTTGTGAAGCATTATATTGTTGGAACACAGAAGGGAGAAACAGCACATGCCGTGGAAAACCAGCCTGGGGACCTGGAATCGCCGGGCGGTCTTGGAAGTCCAGGAGAGGCACTTGTCGGAGACGATGCAGCTCGGGGGAGGAGTGGTGTCTTGAAGGTAGGTCTCGGTGGGTTCTTGCAATGCGTCTAGGGCGGCGTAGAAGTTTCGGATGAGGGCCGGGGAGGAGAGGCTGTCGAGGTTTTCGCAGCCGGGTGGGAGGCCGTGTTCTTGGCAGGGGAACGGGATTTCAAGAATGTGGATTTCCAGGCGCTCTGATTCCCTGGCTCGCTGGATTGTTGAAGATAACCTGGAAGCGTTACCCGGGGTGATCACTAGTGTCACCTTAGCTCCATGCTTCGCCAACAATCGAGCCATGTCCACCATGGGAATCATGTGGCCTTGAGCCAGCAATGGGATTAACACAAAATGGGGTTTCCGCGGTTCCAATTCCAAGTCCATTGCCGCCATTGATGATAGGCTGGTTTTTGAGATAGGCGGTGCTGGAGTCATGAGATGGGTATATAGATTTATATATAGATTTTGTGTATAAAAAAGACAAATTATACCATGGACCAGGTCCACTTTCAATGTGAATTCTGATTTAAAATGAAATTCATATTATATGAGTGCAGTTAATATGTGCATGCAAATTAAATAGATTATGGATCTATAGCTCGAATAAACAGTTCAATGGTAGCAAAAGTAAAATTTGTCACAAAAAATTAAAGACTAAATTTCACAAATGACAGTGTGGAAGCTCCTTTTGCGTAATGAATTAAAATCTAACTTTTGTTGGTCAGCATATATCATTTATTCCTACACAAATTGTCTGGTTGAGACTTAGGGGCGTATGAAGTGACGTTTCTACCTTTTGTCACAAAGATTATATACTTATAAATCAAATTTACATTTAACTAAGATACATAATATAATAATTGTCGTAATTTATTAACAGAAAGTACATAATATGTTAACGGTTAAAAAAAGTAGGCAAGTTGAATTGACTGGTCAAGTCCGTCTTCTACGTGTTGTCGTGTTCATGAGAATGGGCTGCGATATGATGCATAGGTCAGCGGCAGCTGGGCCGGATCGGTTGAATCCTCGTCTGGAAAGCAATAATGGTGTAGTTGCAGCGGCGGGTGGGTTGACTCGAATTCTGAGTTGAACGACTCAACCAACGTAGGTAGTGGGTCGGCGTATTTCGTACACACCATTTGGCGGCCAGTCGGTGTTGAGCTCAGCCACCGCCCCCGTCTTACACGTTTGTCGTCTCCCTGAACCATCTCTTCTACCACAGCTTTACCAACTAAGATCAACCTTTCACACCTTTAATTTTAGTTATTATAAGTTTAATATACTATAAAACAACTTGCCCTGGACTAAAAATGAACAATAACAAAATTAGGATTAAATAATTACAACTTGAATATCTATGAATTTAAATGTTTTACTTACTAATATATATCGATTGGTAAATTACTAATTTACCTGAAACCCGCAATATACTAAAAATGATTTTGTATTAGGCTAAAAATGATTTTGTATTAGGTGTGAACGAGATGATGTGATGAGTTTTTTTTTTTTTTTTTTTTTTTTGAATCTTTGTACACTCAAACATTACTTTTATCTATAAAAAAAAAAAAAAAAAACATGACGTAAGTTTCTTTTGGCCGGCGGCTTAACTATTTTGAGGTCTTACTCAACACGAACAACCAATGAACGATGTTTATGACTTGGTTCACATGAGAACAACTATCCTGGTGAGAACTGTGGACAAATATGATCCGACAATCTAAGATGATCAAATGTAGAAAATCAATGAAAAATGAAAAAAATGTGACGTCATAATTACGATTGTACATTTAAAACTGATTGACAATGTATTCGCAAATAACTGAAACCTATAATCAGACATTCTTTATATATTAGCTATCGATACGCATATTAGAACTTATATATGTGTGTGAGTGTGTGTGCACGCTATATTTTTAAGCAGTGAAATCTAGTAATTTATAAATAATTATACTTTAAGATAAAATTATCTACATCATTATTAAAAAGTTAAGATAGAATTGTGATTGCCTATCCGTGTCTTTATTGAACATTTAAGATATAGTTGCCTGTCTTTATTAAATTATTATAACTATGAATTGTTGCTCTCAAGTCTCAAAGCCGACAAAGCGAATGATATAATGTGACAACTCCAATCTGTATCGTCCACGTTGTCATTCTAATTAAGACTGAGCAAATCAACAAATAATTATGTATTCATAAAAAAATAGTAATTAATGGCAAATTATTTATAAGAATATTACATGTTTTATGGTATATTACTATTTTCTATATGCAATACGCAAAAATTGATGTCCAATATTAATACTCTATATTAAAATATTAGATTTATTTAGATTTTAGATGATTATATTATTGTATAATAATAAAAATTATTATTATTATTATTATTATTATTATTATTATTATTATTATTATTATTATTATTATTATGTAAATCATTTTTATAAATTTGATATTTATATTTTAGAAAATAACTTATATAGTACTCTAATATATAATGTCTAAATATTTTGACCATTGAAAAAGATAAGAAAATATATGATGAATGCGTGTGCATGAAAACCAATAGTTAGAAAAGATAACAAAAATTATAACGCTAGGGATATTTTTGACCAAAATATTGTATAGTACAACTCTTATAGTATAATGCATAAAAAAAAGTAACGAAAAAACAGACATAAAGGGTCGTTTACCAACTTGGAAAAATAGAGAATTTTCCAAAAAATTGGAGAATTGAAGAAGTGGAAAAATGGAAATTGGAAAACTTGTTTACTAAATTTATTCTTCCAAATCCAATCTCATCTCCATTCTTCCACTTCTAATACAAATTTGGAGAAAGCAAAATAACCATTCTCCAAATGTAGGAATGGAACGCACGGGTGAACAGTGGCATTTGTGCGCGAGGTCCTGTGATCGATTCTTGCCTGCGCCTATTTTATTCTTCACAGTTCACAGCTTCTTTCTTTCTTCTGTTTTCTCCCCTTCTTTCTTCCCTTCGTTTTTTCCCCTCTGTTTTTTTTTTCTTTCGAATTCTTTCTTCTTTTTTAATTATTATTATTATTATTAGTATTATTATTATTATTATTCCCCCTTTCTTTCTTCCCTTCGTTTTTCCTCACTTTTTTTTTTCAAATTCTTTCTTATTATTATTATTATTATTATTATTATTATTATTATTATTATTATTATTATTATTATTATTACTTTTTCTATAATTTTTATTGCAATGATTTCTTCACTTTTGTATTTTTAGCTGTAATTATAAAATTTGAATATAGATTTCTTATATATTTACAAATAATAATATTTATTTTTATAAAAAATATATGCTTATTACTTAAAAAAAATCACTTTTGTATTTGTATACATGTTATTATTGGGTATATTGCTTTGTAATCGGTTGTAAATTATTTAGTGTAAGGTTTTTATTGGTGTATTATTATTATTATTATTATTATTATTATTATTATTATTAGAAAATTGAAAAAAATGGAGAAATAGCGAATGAAAATTAAAAAAACTAGAGAAATAGAGAAGGAAAACTGGAGAAATGGAGAAATGGAGAAGGAAAACTGGAGAAATAGAAAAATGGAAAACTGGAAATGGAAAAACAGAAGAATGAAGTAAACGACCCCAAATAGAGGGTATAATTTTCATTCACTGTGTATATTTCAAAATTATATTGATTTATATTATACATAAAAAGGCATGTCTAAAATTATAATGCAAATTAATGAATTAAGAATAATTAATTATTTATGTATAAAGTAATAATATGATACTAAAATAGAAACTGATTAATTTTATAAAATTTATTTTTCTATTTTCATATTTAGAATGTTGACAGTAAACAATAATTTATTTATCAAATATTTTTAATTTTTGTAGATTAATAAGTAAAATAGAAAGAATGATCAAATTTTATTTGCTATTTTAATTTTTATTATGATTATTGAATTAAAAAATAAATTGTACGTATAATTTATTACTATTTTCAGATAACAAAGATCACATAATTAAAAGCATAAATCCAATTTGGGGATTATAGTATGTATACTATTGATAGTGTCATTTTGTCAAACAACATGACTAATTTAAAAATTCACCTCATGCTCTTATACATTAGAATAATTCTGTTGAACATATAACCATTAATGTGCAATTCAACTATCAGCTTAGGCTTTTAGTTAAGATGGAACACATGCTTCAATTTGGTATCAGAGCCACACGTGAGGGGGCGTGTTGAGCATATAACCATTAATGGCATTAGAAAAGACAGATACGTTAATTGTCATTAATTTAGTAACATAATGTTATATTATGCTATACTAAAATTCTGGTGCATGATTTGAATTTGATGATAATTTTTACATTAAACATTAATATTAGGCACCCATCATATTCGCACATCATGTGACAAAACGCTAGTCTAATCCAATTAAACCATTTCAAAATTTTTGATAGAACTAATTTCTAATTTAGTGAATGCCATTTCATTATTTAATGTTTTTTTTTTTAGAAACATTATTTAATGTTTATGTCCTTAATTTTAGTGATAATGCCCAATTTGGTTGGCATTTACCAATGTGGTCTCATTTTTATGAAATTAAATTTGATAGTTGTTCCCAAAACGTTGAATCTCTAATTCCAAGGGACCCCACGCCTCAGCCTGACAGAACATCAATATGTAATTTCTCCTAAATAGAAAGTCATGGTTTGAACCTGTGGGCGGTATTGACTCTTTGTGTTTCAGTAGATTGAGAAAGTAGCTAAAATCATATACTACATTATTGTAACAAAGTCAGTAGTACTCAAGAAAAAAAAAAAACAATGATTTAACTCTTTTGAATTTTATTTTAGAAAGTTCATTTATAACTATGGAAAGAAGATGTACAAATGTATAATTTGGTGTTGAGTCTTAAAATTAAATTTACTCGATATATCTTTCATTGATTTGAAAGGAGTTCATAATATTTTTTTTTTTTTGAAAGTAAGACGAATTCATGATATAATTCATCAACAAAATGGGTAAATTACCTAGATAATAAAAACAAAAAGCTATGAAAAGAAAGAAAAAATCATAAAATTATCGGCATAATTGGCGCATGGCTTTAACTAAACTTGACTTTAGCTTTTGCATCAATCAACACAACTACAACGTAGGGGTTAAAAAACAACAAAAGAAGAAAAGAATTAATTAATAAACCACAAATACACAGCACACAGGTAGCTTAGGGTTATTAGTCTATTCAGGGCCGGTTTTTAGATTTTTGTGGCCCTGTTTGAGTAAATAAATAAGGCCCTACCAAAATTAAAATCTTTAAAACTAATACCGTAATTTTATTATCAAAATATATAACACAAAAAAATTATCCGTGCATCACACGTGCCTCGCACGCACATTGCACGGATAATTGGGCAATTATTTGCTC